GGGAATTTGGTGAATTGCACTAGCCCCCCCCAAATCGATGCCCCATGCCGGTTGAGCTTGATCTCATGACGTTCCTGGATCTGGTTCAGCGACAGAACATCTAGCGCCAAGTCCGGTACCACGCCAACATTCTTCAGCGTAACACGCACATCCTCATGGCAATGGAAAATCATATCCAAATCACCGAAGAACTCTACCGGGATAAGCTTGCCGTCGCCAAGCATGAGTAGCCGCTCCTCCGGGCGCGGTGGACGCCTGTTGTACACCTTTTCCCCGGAAAGGACCACGTGGACCACAGCGCCAGAGTCTCCGAGGAAGACTGTGGAACCCGGGCGATGCGGGAAAAGGTTTGATATTTCGCGCGCAGGGGGGGATGAGGAGACGGAACAGACAAGGTGCATCGCGAAGAGACCGCCACCAAAAGTAACCTCGCCGTCCCCGCCGAGCGCCTCAGGAACCGCTCCCGCCGAGTCACTTGTCGCCATGGCACCGTTGGGCTGCAATCCGTCATCGCCACCGTCCACGCCACCGCCGCCGTGGAAAATGTCGACAAACTCAAAGAAGGGCTCGGCCGGTGTCACAACCTGCTGCTGTACGATCGCCCCATTGCCAACGCCGCCCCCACTACCGCTGCCGTCACCGCCGCTGCCGCCGCCACCACCGCCACCGGCCATCATGGCGTCACTGTAGTACATCCCATCGGCCGCCGGGATATCACGATATGGGGCGGCCGATGCATCCGTCGTGGCGTACGCGTACTCCGGATCGACAGCACCAGCAGAAGTGACGACGTTGAGGTGAGGGTGCCGGTTACTTTTGGCACAATTGCGCCACATGTGGCCGTACTGGCCGCAGGCGCCGCACGTACCTTCGAACCTGCGGGGGGCGGCGCAATGCCCGGCGTGGTGGCCGTGTCTCCCACACCGCATGCATCGGTGCACTGTACCCATCGGCGCGCCGGGCGGAGGTGGTGACTCCGGCTGGTAGTACACGGCGTTACTACGGCAATCGTAGATCCCGCCAACCCCGATCATAGCGGACTGCTGCTGCTGCCGCTGCTGCTGTTGCGGCTGCCGGTACGGCTGCATCTGCGACTGCTGTTGGTACGGCTGTTGCTGTCGCATCTGCTGCTGCGGTTGTTGGTACGGTTGTTGCATTTGCCGCTGCGGCTGCTGCGGCTGTCGGTACTGTTGCATCTGCGACTGCGGCTGTTGCTGTTGCCGCGGTTGCTGCTGCTGTTGGGCAACAGCTCCCCCAGAGGACCAATATTGCCCGCGGCCGTCGCCGCTGTTACCATTCCGCCGTTGGCCTCCGCCCCCCCCGCCCCCCCCGTTGCCGCCGTGCCCAAAACCACGGCCAACAACAAGAGCATGCGGGTTGGCGGAAACCGCCGGTGTCACAGCCGCCGACCTCATCTCGCTAGCCTTGAGCGTAGCATACCGACCACGCACGACGTCCTGCAGCTCAGCGCGGGTTAGATCACGCTTGGAAAGGCTACTGCGCTTCTCGACATCATAGCGTGCAGGGAGTTGACGGATGAGAATCTGCACAACCTCCAGCTCACTCTTGACAATGCCCACAGCCCGCAACTTGGCCTCAAGCTGTGCAACGCGCGAGAAGAATACCTTTGGGTCTTCACCATCCTTCATTGTGATGTTGTCAAGCTCGGCGACAAGAAGCTGACAATCGGCTGGGTGGTCCGGCAAAAACCAATCCTCCATCATCCTCCACGCATCGGCCACGGAATGGCAAGAGTACAGGGTGTTCTCAAATGGGGCCCCCACCGCTGCCTCCAAGATAAACCCCACATCCTCTTGTGCTCACCAACAAGCTTTGAGCCGAACTGGCGAGTCAGGTATCCGACGTCTTGACAACTCACAACGGGAACCTCAGCACTGCCGGCGATGGTATGCAGGAGATCATGGTTGTCCGCGTAGACCCGGAACCGTCTCCGCCAACTAAGAAAAGCGTCGGCGGTGCAATTTGACGGGAGTCTAGGCACAGGAGTTCTGACAATGGTACCTCCCAAAGGCAAACCCGGCACACCAGTACCACCACCATGACTCACCCCACCTGGCCCCGTCGGCCCCACCGATGCAGATGGAGCCCCTCCAGTAGCAACTAGACCGTCGCCTCCTGGGCTGCCGGCAGGTGCACCCGCCGACTGCTGCTGTGCTGCCCGAACCTCCGCCGTCTCAGCCTTAGCAGCCTCTATAGCTCGCAGCGCCTCATCCAGCCTCGCGCGCACAGCTGCAATATCCTCCGTATCCCCACCATCCGACATATCTAACTAAAACCCTAAACCTGCTGTCCCAGCCTCGAAGTGCTGTCCCAGCTATAAAACCTGCTGTCCCGCGTTTGATTGCCCCAAGCCTAGTGCTGCTGGGATGAGCAAGGCTGCGCCGTTGGTAGGCGTGAAGAGATGTTAAGATGGTAAAGTCGTTGATTAGGTTGCCCTTGTCGTAAGGGGAACAGGAGAGAGAGTGGCAACGGGAGGCGAACTCCCGTGCCGCACACCAGTAGCAAGAAAACGCAGAACTCGGAACACTATGCAACAGGTCAAAGATACAGAATTCTAGACATGTCATAAGATACCCCGAAGATCTATGCCCCTTGCTGCCACTTTAGCTCCATGGTAGAAACCATCATACATGAGTAACTACAGCAGTAGCGTATTCGTAATGATGAAATAATCAACCTCACCAACATCCCGGTCCCCGCAATGGCCACCGCACCAGCTACACAATGCTGCTGTCCTCGCCCCCGTTGGCCGCGATCCCAGCTTGAAGAAATATAGAAGAAAAGTGTCGACCGCTCCGTTGACCCGGCTCACACAGCTCAGACGCCAATACCCACTACCAACACCAGGCCTTACAATATATTGTGTTTGGGTGCGGTAGCCCGTCAGAGGCCGAAAGAGAAAGAAGGTTGACTCAAGACCTTGGTTGATTAGAGAGTGGCATGCACGGCGGAGGCACGAGGGGCCCCGCACGTATCATGTCCATCATACACAAATATCATCCACGTAACCCCCGGAGGCCCCGTAGATCAGTATCCTGCTGAGTACCCCAAACAAATCGTGCTTCTCAACAAAAGTTAATGGCCGTGTCCGGTCTGGCTTTGCAGCCACGAACACGTCCCCCCAGGGTTGCCATCCCTGTGATCAGCGCTGTGCTTGCTAGGTCAATACAAGCAAGTCAGCGGCTGACTACGTCGTGTGTGCTTCTCAACAAAAGCTAATGTCCGGGGTTCGAATCTCCCCTTGAGCAAAAATTTATTTGCGCCGAATTTATGAGGAAGAAAATGCCTAGGAAACTGGCTTCGCAAAGTAAGCCGATGACCTGCTTGTATCGACACGGGCATTAACTTTTGTTGAGAAGCACGAGGTAATGATATGATGCGGAGTTGTGCCAGCATACACCAGTGCTGGTGGCAAGTCCCGAAGCTCGAGGTTTTGGTGCACCTCCATCTGTAGCTCAACAATCAGTTGCTTCTTCCCAACCACCTACAGAAGAACTGAATACTGCCCAGATTTCGGCTCCAATGACCCTACCCGAACGGTCACTCCCTCTCTCCATCAAGCCCGTTTACGTTCTTTGCTCTGATCCAGTCACAGACGCTGTACTCATTATCCAAGACATGATGGTCAGTCAGTCGGTCGTGCGTCGGTTCTACAGCACCTAAATATTTGTAACTCCGTGCTCGTCCCATCGGCCAGCTCACCACGGTGTAACATAGTTTGTGTGTGTTTTATTGTATTGTGTGCGGAAGTGGCGAATATTCCAATGTACACTACGAACTCAGAGGAGACAGCACCCCTCGTTGAAACCGTAGCAACGAGTTTTTCCTCCAAACCTCTTGGGGGCGGTCGGGTAGACCACTGCGAACACTCTAAAAAAAAACTTGGACCTTGCCCGGGGATGGTTGATCACCATCCCCTCCCCAACAATAACTCCATGTTCATCAGTTGCGAAGAATGGCGCCCATGGAGACTACTATCACTGGTTGTTTCCCCAACGCATCCTACTTGCGGGCACACCCACAACAAGTACATCAACACTGTGGACGTGTACTACTTGGTTGGATAAAAGCCACCACGCAGAAGGAACTGATTTTCGTTGTCGAGTGTACTCGCTGACCAACACTCGAGAGGCGATGACCCGGAGCCTTCAAGAGCGGCTCATACAATGCCCCCATGTATGTATGCGTGTGGGTGCGTCTGTGTGGTATGATGTGCGTTTACAGAAGAACGCTACGTCCAATCGACGATGCACCTCTGACAAAAAGACTTGTGTTACGTCCGCCATGTGCTCGGTTTTTCGAGCCGGCGTGCTCGGGGCAAGGCGGTGAAATTTTTGGCAGCGACCTCACCCGCCGCTGCTGGAGAACACTTTTCTGGTGCTTGGAGAGAGCAAGACCTGCCCACACAACCCACTGCCGTGCTTCCGCTGCAGCACACGAATCCACAAGCGCACTGCTGCCACCGCTCCCCAATAGTGTGCCCGGGTGGTATCGGGCGTAATTTTCCTGACGGCGCCAGCGGCTCGGGCTAACGTCAACATGACGCAGTTTGCCAATTTTGGAATCCTCTCGGAAATTTTTTCTGCGGAGTGTTTTTTTTTGTACTGAAAAAAAAAGGTGAAAAAATTTTGTGCGTTGCAAGATGAGCACCCCTGTAGGCCCCGCCACCAGAAATGCCTCAGTGCGGGCAGTGTGCTTTACTGAAATGAATGAGAGTAGAGGAGAAGCACACAGCATACAATACACCGGCCGGGGGTGGCAACTCTCGTTCCTGCAAAAGGCGTTTACCATGTACATTGTTGTACCGTACAAGTTCACACGGTCTCGCGCACATTACTTTTTTTTTTTTTCTTAATATGACACAACGAAACCATCTCTATCATTTCTTCTTTTTTATTTTTATTTTTATTTTTTCTTAATATGACACCACGAAGCCATCTCTATCATAGAAAAGAGTCTGAGACAGATTAGCTTTTGCTTTTTTTCGTTCCTTCCGACATCAATCAAGCCAGCGGCAGCTCGATTTTTTTGTATGAACATCAACGCTCAAACTTCAACTTGCTCCCACGACAGCCAGCAGGCCATCTCGTCCCAGGAATATCTTGTCTGCCGCGCCAGACTATCTCCTCTCCTGGTCAATTCCCTTGCTCGACACAGGTCATCCCCCCCGTGCTCATTCAAGGAAGGATCATCATCCAACACACCACCACACCACGGCTCCTTCTCTGCTTGTAAATGATGGGCAACAGCAACGGTGAGATCATCGTGTGGTAGATCATGTTTTTTAGGGTTCGAGAGAAGGCCTAGAGCTCTTCTTGTTATACCATGATTGACGAGACATATAGCAGAGAGCGCCGGCCCCCCTCCTCTCCGTCATTCTTGGTCGACCTCGTGCACATGGAGGAGCGCACAACACAAGTCTGTTTGTCAGAGAGGTGCATCGTCGGTTGTGGAAATCAACCGTTAGCGTTCTGTAAACGCACATACAACGCCCGCAATGTTGGTAAAGTAGTGGCTTCTGGGGAAAAGGTGTTGTATTGATGAGACCTTGGACCAGGAGAACAGGTCAAAAGGTGGAGTGAGCAAGGGTGGGGCGAGCACCGCAGCACCGCAGCACCACCCGTCGCTCGACCAACGCACGAAAGCAGAACACAATAATATCGGGACACAACGACTCAACGTGGGCCAACGTCCTTCACAACGTACCATGAATCCTCTGGTTGATCCACTATCCACAAAGAACACACTCGGGGCAATGCACCATCCACGAGGAACATTCCTACAGAACGTTCCTTGCTGTTCTGATAATATGTGGCTACTCAGCGATCTGCAACGTCGACAGTCCCTCAATTCAAACTGTCCAATCATATTGTGCTACGTTAATCTGTCGACACACACAGCAGCAACTATCACGAACACGCAACGCATACATGGAGGTATTGTATCATGATGAGCCGCTCTTGAAGGCTCCGGGTGATGGCTTCTCGAATGCACGTCAGCGAGCACACTCGAAAACGATAGTGCCTGCTTGCGATGTGGCTTTTTTCGAACCAAGTACACATCCATCGCGTTGATGTACTTGTGGGTGTGCCCGCAAGAAGGATGCCTTGGCGAAACAAGTCTATAGTCTACTTCGAAGCACCTTGGGAAATTCACCTCTTCCGCACAGAAGAACTTCCATTAAAAATACACAACATAGACTAGAAGTATTTTACAACGTGCGTGGTGAGCTGGCCAATGGGACGAACACGGAGTTTCAAATACTTACATAGGTTGGAGCACTGTAGAACCGAAGCACGGCCGACTGACCATTGATGTCTTGGATAGCAGAACGGTTGTAACGGGATCAGAGAAAAAGAACGTAAACGGGCTTGTTGGCGAGGGGTGGCGGATCGTTTGGGTAGGGTTCATTGGAGCCGAAATCTGGGCCGTAGAGTAGTAGATGGTTCGGGAGAAGAAAATGAGTGTTGAGCTACACATACAGGTGCACACGACGAAAAACCTCGAGCTTCGGGACTTGCCACGAGCACTAATAATGTGCTGGCATATGCTTACGCGTCAGTACCTTGCCTTGTTTTGAGTGGTGAAAACCGTACCGTTGGACAACGCGGGGAGCTTTTCCGCATCCCACACCATTCATCGCCGTCGCTCCGAGTTTTTCTATTTCACTATGACGATCCTCTCCTAGTTTGAGAAGAACTCTTCATGGATCACGGAAACGAGTTCGATACTGACGTCAGAAGGGTCAAGGAGTTCCTCGTCCCCCAAGTGTATACGCCAACAAGAGCCTTCCTTAACACGAAATAAGTGCGACTATCTCATGTGGCTAGGATAGATAGTCGATGTCCCGACTTCACTGCCACGAAAAGGTTCTACCGACTGGACCACCGAGCGAGGTGATCGGTAGTAGTGTTTTTTGGAGATCTCCTGGACCACCACAAAGAAACTACATAGTCGGGCGCGACCGGGAGTAGAAATAGAATTGCCGGACGTAATGTATGGGCTGGAGTCCACATTCAACTGATGTTACACACCCGCCATGGTATTTCTACCCCTTGGCCGGAGAAGAACATCACCTCAACCACCAGTCCTTTCCTCAACATGAGCTGATGTGGGCGTTTTTCAGCAAGTTTACGTTACCTCTTCAGAACAAATGTTGCTCCGTTCATTCCAACACCTACCTTCACCGACATAAAATAAAAGCAATATCCATCCTCATTGGACGATGTTGTTTGTCGCTTGAAAGTATCATTCATCCGGTTCTTCATACCCTTGCCCGACTAGGCGATCTCGATGACGCAAAATTTTTTTCCTCTCAAGCATATCTTAGCTTTGAATCGGAAAACTTATGATCCTTCCCCAAGTGTCAGCAGCTTACGCCTCCCATTGATGGACTCCACATTGCCATTTCACCCCACCCGAAAAGGAATCCCACACCAGACGAAGTGAATGTGCTTGGGGAGATTGACGCGTGCCTTTCTTCTGTCTCGTTCTCTCTGTGCCTACGTTAAGAATAGAGACTGATTATCTCAGGTGCAAGTGAATTATTCTCTATTTTCATGGCGAACAAAACTATGGTATATACTACTACAGTACGACAGAGGTGTTTCTTCATATATTCGTTCACCACATGTGCTCTTGATCCATGGATAACGCAGAAAAATTGAAAAATGAGGTGGGGGGAGTTGACGCCGTGTTACCTCTCTTTGTTGGGAGGGGGCATGCATAAATGCCCAGCGTCTTTGAGCGCGAAGCCCCTACACACCATTTGTTGAATACAACGCGTTCGGGGAATGGCTTGTGCATGGTCGGTGCAACCCCGACAGCAAGCACACCTCAGCCTAGGAGGGGTGCAAGAATAGACGCCTGTGGCCATTGTTTGACCTCCATTGCCCGATGCACTGCCGTTCGTTGGGTTTTGTGCCGCATTCTAGCGGGCAGGAGGACGCTTCGTTTTCGAGTTCCTGCTGGGTTTATTCATTTGTGGACGGTGCTCTTTCTGCAGCGATAAGTCTATTCCTCTGTGATCGATCGTGCGCTCTCCCCACGTTTCAACGTTACCCGCTGAAACAATGCAACACGTGAGACAGGCAATGCCGAAAATACTCGTTAAGGTGCTGTAACAACATCCTACACACCCTGCGACGAAAATATTTCTGTAATGATCGTAACGAAACGCCTCTACACGAAACATGCCAACTGCTCCATTGTCAGGGAACTGCAGCCGATGCCTCTCCTTCACCGTTGCAATACGATACGGGCATAGTGGGGGCGAACGTCGTTGGTGCATATCAACGTTAGAACTATGGCCGCCGCGTCTTCAGCTGTTAGAGTTTCGGAGAACTTCGGGCTATCCATCGTCGGAAGTCGTTTGGCCAGCTCCCCTCTCCTTCACCGTTGCCTTAAGCCACGGGCATCATTGGGCCCAACGTCGTTGGTACATATCAACGTTAGAACTATGGCCGTCGAGTCTTCAGCTGCTACAGTTTGAGAGTACTTTCGACTATCCGTTGTCGGGAGGCCTTTGGCCAGATTCCCTCGTTCGCGCGAAGCGTGGTCATCAGCGTTCTAGGGTAAGGCACGCCTTGCTCACAGGGATGCTGATTTGTACACAGAACCCCGGGTGGGAGCGTATGTTGTCGTTTGTGTAATGTACCGTTTTAATACGTATTCCCGAGCAGCCCTCAAGCTACCTACCCAAACATTAGGTGGTTACTTCGTGGATGTGGCAAGAATAATAGGCGCTGCACCAGTTCTATGGATTGGATCTCTTAGTCTTCAGAGCCCTCCCGTTGGGCGTTGTCTCATATAGTGACGGTTTCTTGCTGAATGGAAGAGGCGTCTGCTACAGGTAGGGAACGTTGGTATTGAAAGGTGTCGCTCGAGGTTTCCTCTTGTTTATGCCGGAGCATGTGCTGCTTGTTGTTTCGTTTGCGCTTGGTTTCATCCCTGTCGTCGGGCACCAACCACCCGGTCCCTCTTCGCTGTTCTGTGGTTCGGATGGTGGTATCCACAATGTTGTTGTCTGGACGTAATAATACGCTTATGGCAAAGATAGATGGGCAGCCGAAGCGTTCATGTTGTGCAGAGTCCTTGAAGAGTGGGTTCATCTTCCATCTATAGAAGCCGAAATCAAAACATTAGACTAGTCAGCGCTGACTAGTCTATTGGTTTGATTTCAGCGCGAGCCCAGTGATGCAAATTTTGTGTTGGTGATAAGATGGCCTAGGCCAGGAATCGTGTACCTATGCAAGTCCCGGCCTTATGCGAGACGGGGCGGGAAGTACGCGAAGCTGCCAGTGGATGGTCATGACGACGAGTTGTGAGTTCTTGAGTAGGAATTCATACGAGTTGATGCTTTTCATTGGTATCCAGCGGTTGCTCATCCACGGTTGAGCTCCAAACAACCTTCTCGGTTGCTTTAGGTTTAGAACACGAGCTCCAGTTTGAACGCGGCGACAACGTTTGCAAGTTTACTAACTACAAGCTATCATCGTTCGTTGACGGAGGAGTTCCGAACGGTGTTCCCCTTACACCATGAGAGGTTGCCATGGGAGGCTGCCATGAGAGGTAGGACCAGATCGAATGCGTTCGCACGCAATTCTATGTCCAGAACGTAGGTGTGTATAAAGAACGCCCTCATTGCGGGCCATGAAATTCGGATGGTCATCCGATCGGATTCGGCAATATTTCTTGATACACATCCAAACTATGACGGTCCCCTTCTGTTCAGCGCTCAACGGCGGCATCGCCGAAAAAGAGCATATATTATATCACGAAGACTCCAGCGATGGCGCAACCACTACCTCATTCATCCTGCATGCATGTGGTCCGATCCTTAAGACAGCGTGTGAACCCTGTTGGAGGTGCGTTTGGAGTGTGCCCGACGTTCTCGGAAGCGACAACGCTGACTTCCACAAAAAATGGAAAGATGACACACGAACACACACGTAGCAAAAACGACACCAGCTTTGCCTGCTCCGCTTGGCGCTATACTGACATAGACTGTGCTTGTTGCGACGTTCCAGTCGCCCAAGACTCATGAATTTGGTGCCAAGAGCACTTCGTCAATCCACTCCTACTCTAGACGACGACTTACAAACAACGATGTTTGTTACTTGCCAGACCCTCTATTGCCAGGTGGCTGGGATAGGGGGACTATGTAGCTACCGCGTGGGTCCCAATAGTGTCCGTGACTAGTAACGATGGCGCCCTTATGGCGATGTCATGCTTCCAGGAGGTCGAGTGACCTATGAGACGCCACGAAAGAATCTGCCCTACGATAGGCCAAGGGACAAAATGACCACTGTGTGGCGATAATTGGGGTTATATATGGGACAGGCTACGGCGGACTACGGCGCGATATTGTGTGTCAAGATGTTAACACCACCGGCAACCATACAGTGTCCATTCCCCCCTCGCCCGACAACTCACCACCACCCCGTGGTGAGCTATTTGTTTTTGTCGGAAAGGGTTCCACGATGAGGTTAGCTGCAGCGTCGGTTGTGCCCGTCGCAAGACGACGTTGGCTTTGAGAGTACATCTTGCCCACCACAAGCGGATAGCGTTTGAGGACCCCGTTTAGGTGACATGAGAAACCGTCGTGAGTAAGTAGACTCTCTCTCTAAAGGTAGGGGAGGCCCACACCTGCTTTGTATACCCAATCGGATTGGGACGGATTGCTGAGGCATTTCTGGTTGATGGGATGGGATAGGATCAGATGAAAAGGTTCGCACTGTCATACGCCAGACTGGGCAGGACAGCTGTCGTATGCAATCATGATGAGACGGATTGGGATGGGACGGTGTGGGACGAGATTGGTAGATGGGGTATTGATCGATGGCAAAACCTCGTACTGCTGAGGGCAAGCCATGGTTAAAGGAGGTCAAGCGAGTACCACACGCCAGGAGATAATCTGCCCGACGATTGGCGCAAAGCAGGTAACGATGGCTTGTGTTTCGATAGTTGATGTGGAATAGGGGGCAGACTACGGTTGCGCGATCAAGGGTTCATCTTGACCTCGTCCGACAACTTCACCATGGATTCCAAGGGAGCTTGTTTTGGGTGGGATACGGCGCCGAGACGATAGTCCCCCCATCTGATGGTGGGGTGGCCCGCATGCTTGTTTTATGCCCGATGGCATTTGGGGTGATTCTGGTTGATGGCATGAGAAAGAATCAGATGTATAGGTCCGTGCTTCAGGCCGTACTGTTTTAGGCTAGGCTGGGTGCGACAGTTGTCGTGCGTAAACATTATGGGACGGAATGAGACGGGACGGAACGGATTGGTGGAACGGGAGTGAAGGGGATGGAACGGGCTGAACGGCGGGATGGAACGGGAATGGAGGGGGTGGGAAAGGACTGGGAAATTCGCATGGCAGATATTGGTCGATTGGATCACACGACATGGCTGAATCGGAGGCAACGGAAGAGAGCGATTTGGGGGACGCATGCACGCGTAGAAGATAGGGCACGATGATAGTACCGAAATATATGGGGTACATGCTGCTTCTCTAACGAAGGGAGTGGATGGCAAAGAAGACATGGCACAGGAAGCAACTGTCGGAGGTGCAGCCTTCCGCATTTTCCTACTGTTCTCTTCGAACTCATCCACTGTTGAAGGAGGCGGGTTTTCGCGTGCCCTGTTTTGTAAAACAGTTATAGATACAGTGGGGTTTTGGGTTTGGGAAGTATTTTTTCCTGCCAGAGAGCATTGGTTACGTGTGTGTTTATTAACCGGTTTCTATCTAGATTTCCCTTCTCGAGACTGTTGGTTGGGTGGATTGGTGCCGAATTCTGTTCAAGAACGAGGCTATCTCAGCCTTCTAGAGATTGGCTTGGCGATGAAACCCGTTCTTAGCCAGCGACGTTACAGAGCTACGGTAGCTCTGTCTGATATTGCTGCCGAACGCTGGACGCGCCCCGTATTTTTGCGGTGCGAGGGCCGCCACTATTCTGACATTTGAGCGCGTACGTCGCCTGTGTTGGTTTGATGATTCGCTTGGTCATGTCACGGGACATGGTGTGAGCCCTTGGGCACCCGTCACTTCTCGAAAACGAAAGGAGTTGTGGGCAGCTGAAACCCCGTGGCTAATCTCGGGCCTCGATTCCGGTGTTTGCGGTTTCGCGCCTGTGTGTTATGTATGGGCCTTTCGTTGTGTGAAGGCAGTGCACCTGTCATTTGTTTGGAGGAGTAAGGGGGTGCGCTGCATAGTACAGGCTGGGAGCGTGTCTGCCACGGCGTTGTACAATTTCGGAAGAGAGTCGTCGTCTGGAGTAGTGGTGGATCGACAACGTTTGCTGGCACCAGCCCCGTGAGTGTTGAGCGACTGGAAAGCCGCAATAAGTGTAGTCTATGTCGTAATAGAGCCGAGCATGACAGAGAGGTAAGAGAGGTGTTCTTGTGTATGTAAAAACAGCGGTGGTGCCATCGTTCGAGTCTTATGGCTGAAATACATGTTTCTGGCGAACGGGGCCGGCATTGAACCCTGAACATGAGGAGACGGTCCGTCGAAGTTTGGATATACAGGAAATATTGCCGGAAACCGATCGAATGACGGTCCGATTGTAGTGGGCTCCAACTCAAACCGCTCCATGTACTCTACACACCCAAGCTCTGGACGTAACATTGTGTGCTGACGTATGCAATCGGGTCTTAGACTACATCCTGTGGTTTAGTTTGAAGACCTTCCGGAACCCCTCCATCAAGACGCGATAATGACTCTACAGGGTGATGATAGATGCTAAACCCAGGCAGGTTGAATGTCGATACTAATCCATGCAACAGCCCCTATCACCGCGTTTAAATTGTAGCTCGTGTTTGGTTGGACGGCGATATATTCGAGAACTAGAGCAACCGAGAAGGTTGTGTCAAGCTCAACCGTGGTTAGACAATCGTCCACCAGTTGACATGAGCCAAATTGTCTTCAATGTTTGTTTGGGGTTGTGGGGGATAGAAAACCTGCACTGACAATGCGAGGAACCCCTTTGTAGTCCGAACAGTCAGTTTATTTGTTCATATTCCTATCCAACAACGAAACACTCGTCGCAAATGTCCACTACAGCGTGGTGTACAACCGCGTCTCTTGGCCAGCACTTGCATAGGTACACGATTGCTGACCTAGGCCATCTCTTATCACCAACACGAAATCCTAACAATGCGTCCCATGAGTGCGGTGATCGACACCACTCTTCAAAGATTGCACACAATGCACGCTTCGGCAGCCCATCGTTGCGGGCATAAACGTCCAAAACAACAACAATAATCGAGTATATCACCCGGACGACAGAACAACGAAAAGTACCGCGTACTGTCCGTGTCCGACGACAAAGGTAAACAAGCGCAACTAATACAAGCGGTAAACAAACCAAGATGAATCTTCGAGCGACAACTACCGATGCCAATGTTCTCGAAGGCTAGGAGATCCTAATCCATCCAGTTGGCACAGGGTGGCCAGTCCCCTTTGACACATCATCGAAGCAACCAATAGTGAGGTAGGATTCAGGGCCGAGCCGAAAATTCACATCCTACTGATCTACCGTACCAATGAACACACAACACACACAAACAACGAATCTCCAGTCCTGTGACAGGATCATAATCTCTGTGGCTAAGGCGCACGAAACATTGCCTTCGTCATCGCAGAACGCCAATGACGACTCCTCAGCCCTGCGGTGAATCCCCTACATACTCGGGAGAGGGTATCATGCTAATAATCAAGACGCTTGTCCCGGTGATTCTTACCACGCAGTTTTCCCATGCTCCACGCAAAAGCTCGAAGCTGGCCAATGGACTCCCGACAATGGATAGTCGAAAGCAGTCCCAAACTGAATATGCTGAAGGTGTGACGGCCATTCACGAACGCTGAGTATGGGTCGGTTGATGCGTTCACCAAACTCCGGGTATCGCAGGGAAGTCGGCCATAGACTACTACTCCGACAACGTGCTGATTGAATCCCTTCCCAAACGTGAGCTGTTACAGAAACGATGGCCATGTCACTGCGGCAATAGGTTGGTTGAAGGCGAGCCCCAGGTCCAATTTCAGCGCGGAGGTCGGCCACACTACGTTGACAATGGGCACAGTGAAGCGCTATCCAAACAAAAGCTGTTGCAGAGACGCCGGCCACACTAGACCGGCGATAGGCTTGTTGAAACTCCCAGCGAAAGCTGTTGCAGAGACGCCGGCCACTTCACACCGGCAAAAGGTTGGTAACGGTGAGCCCGAGGTCCAATTTCAGCAGGGGGGTCGACCACACTGCTTCGACAACCGGCCCATGGAAGAAAAATCTGAACGAAAGCCAACACAGCGACACACCGCCACGTTACTTTGGTAATAGGTGGGCTGAAGGTGAGCCCGAGGTACAATTTATTCAAGGAGGTCGGCCATACCACATCGACAAATGGGCTGATTGAAGCAACATGTCCGAATGAAAGCTGTTGCAGGGACGCCACCCACGCTACACCGGCGATAGCCTTATTGAATCAACACCCGAGCGAAAGCTGATGCAGAGACGCCGGCCACGTCACACCGGCAAGTAGGTTGGTTGGTGTGACCCCCTAACGATAGCTACCGAAGGGCGGGAGACCAGGCCGCACCAATGATAGGATGGTGAAATCCTCGAGTTAACTTAACAACAAGGTTCTCTGCTACCCCCGAATGGCGGAGGCATTACGGCTGCCCCCGACGTTTCGCCCGTGTCTCCTTGTTCAGAATGACCGATGTCGTATTCTGAATCTAAGGCTAAAGACCCGTGACATATCCGACACATTGGGTATCTGCTACATCTCTCTCTTGGAGTATTTTCGTGGCTTGCTGTTGTTGTTTCATTTGTGGGATGTGCCAGGCAGGCACAACAAGGCGCGAACGCAGCGTTTATCACGATATATATCATGTCCTCCATCATGAGCGTCTTCACATGGCAGTTTAAGTTGGTGTAAGCAGGGCATCCGCTCTAACATTTCCTAAACTTCATTGGAGCAACAGTGTTAAAAGGCGGTATAAGAGCACATCGGACTTGAGTGATAAATACTGACTATTCTGACTTGTCCCGACCCTTCTTACAGCCGTAGCCCCCCCTGTATTGTGAATAAAGGGTCCAAAGGGGTGACTGTACCACATATACATCCCCGTGTTCGGACGGTGGCCGGCAAATGTTCCACTCTCAAGCGTAACTGGATCCTCTCGTCAGAATATTTAACAACAATGTACGAAGCATCCTTAAGCCTGTTCGTATACCCTTGTGTGTGTTGAAGATGCTTGTGTCACTTGTACTAAGTGCAGCAGACGAGATCAAGACTCTGAGACAAGGCGATGGGAGAGTGAGTGCACAACGCCAGCAAGCACTCCCACAAGGCCGAGTCTCGTGGATCAAACCATCAGTTCCAATACGATCCCGTTTGTATTTCCTAATTCGCTCATGCACACACCAAGACCCTCCTTGGTTCTTTCCACAAGTAACTAACCACTCGTGGGCATGTACATGCCGGATGTGGCCAAAAACAAAACGAAAAAAACAATGCGAAAAACTTAACAGGGGGAAAACCGGCCTCTGGATCAACTGAAACCCCCACAAATATTTACCGTTCAGACACCTGCTGTTACGGTTGCGCTACTATTTAGAGCGACATAAGCCAGACTAATACCAGACGTCCTAGAATCCACAAAGCCCGCCTCTACAATCGTGGGTGGCGCGCTATCATATCCTTTCTGCATCAACCAAGATCCTAACCTAGTTTCCAACAACGGCATATCCTTACATTCCTGGTAAGCCATAGCATGAGACTATTCTGAGGAATTGTTCCTAACAGCTATCATGCGACGGCAACGCTGTCTGTACGTCAAAATCGCCCCCCCCGTCGCTGGCGTAACGAGGCAATCTCAGAAACTTGAAGAGCGAATCATTACTTTCAAGTGAAAATACTGGGCATGTGGACGCGAACGTCTCCGAGAAACACGGAACACCCTCCCTGGTTCCTTTAACCAAAGTGCACTCATGATAACCAACGAGGAATACTACCTTCACTACGAATACCATCAATTGCTATCTGTGACGCCACGTTACACAACCCCGTTGATGTATTCTAATCCGTGCATGCACACACGAACAACGCCTCAGAAGCTGGACGCAGACAGATAACAACAAGCCTGCTACATCATCTAACGGACAATGTCCGTATGCTCCGAAGATATTCGTACGGGTTCCACCGGCCGCTCGTAAGAGACTGCAAAAAAAACAAATCACCTCATACTGACGCATCGTGCGATGTCAGCAAAACCATTTATCATGCTTTCCTCACGAGAAAAGATCGTGGTAAAAGTCAAACGTCAATCATAGCCCAAGCAAGGGCAGGGAGATCAGGTTGACGAAGCTCCACTGACTGAATTGTTGGGACAGCTACAGCACATATCGCAGCGATTATCGCGGGTCCCCGTGATCCTACAGACATACTCCCTCCCGAAATAGGCGGCTAATATTCCTAATATTATAACTATCGCGCCCACCACCGCCCCAGCTATTTCTCCCGTAGACCACCCGTCATCGGTCGAACCTCCAGACAGAGTAGTACAGCCACATGTGGTCGTCACGTAGTCGAGCCTTGTAAATTCGTTGTCAGCTTCCTCGCAATCCCACTGGATGACCTCCGTGGGGTGAATTAGCGACGCATCGTTCTCATCTGAATCTTTGCATCTGATCTCCAAGGTGCCACCTAGGACATAATCCTGGTATTGCGACAGCACCCATATCGCCTGAACACACGAAAGAAGAAAAACAAAATAGAGCGACCAAGACACGTAGGGCACGGAGTCAGGACCGATATCACATACAAGTACTTGGTAAGATACAAGAGCATGCGTGGACGGAGAATCAATGGAAATACTCCGCAGTACGTTGCAACAAAGTGACGTGCATACACCAGATATCAGTGAAGCATGTTCACACAATCTTTAGATCTACACTTGTTGACTGCCGCCGGTCTCGTGTTCAATGGCCGCTGTCGTTTGCGACCTCCGGGTAGTTTCTAGCGTGAATTCTTTCGACCGTACGCTCCGGACGAGAAAACAATCCTTCTCTCGTTACCTTTTCCAAATTTATAAAATGGCACCGTATGAAGGACTACGGCCAAGGATCGTATGTAGCGGCCGAACATGGTGTGAGTCGTCGAAGAAGGAATGAGTGGGGACGTCAGCCCGACGCGTGAGGCCCGCGTGGGGAGTTGTACCAATAGCTCAGGTCATCGCTGCACAATTGGACATGTCGGGAGTTCGCTGCGGCGGTGGCGGCTGTTAATGATCATCTGGTGATGACCCATTTTGAAGTGGAAACCGTAAGGTATCACGCTGAATCTCTGGTAATGATAAGGTGCTGAACCAAGAAGCACGCAACAACTAACTGACAAGACAAGGGGTTCGCAGGCCTCTACAGCAACTTCGTAAAGAACGGGGGGATCTCTGCCTCCATCGCTTTCCCGTATGCTGCCGCTGATTACTACATCGACGCTGCCTGTATCTCAGATATTGTTCTGAAGTACACCCTCACATATATAGAAATATTGCACAAGAGGTTGTCACAAACAGTATAGACTAATCTTGTTGAAGATATCGAAAATTTCTCACCCAACTAGTGCCGAAAGATGTTGAGGCATGCACTGAATATTCCCCATCGACCTTAAATCCGTCCCTGTAGTACTCGGGAAGAGAGTTTTCGGTGCTCCCAGAGTCTTCGTAGCAACCGTCCAGTGTCGTGCCGAATTCCGACACAAGGTAAAAGGAGTCTCCGTACGAGCACGTGACCATAATAATGTGCAGAGGAAAGCTCCCCTCGGCTCAGAACTCCGTTCTTGACCAGTTGCTGTTCGCAGACGCACTTGGTACCGCTCAGACTCTAAACGCACGAAGGGGGGAGGACGATATGGAGAAACATGCCGGGACGATTGGAATTATGTTTTTTAACGGTTTCGAGCGCAAGAGTCGAACCCCCGTTCAAATGGACGCGAGTACAACAGTCTGAGCCCAAAACACGTTGAGAGAGAGTCCAGGTAAAAAGTGAGCCTTACGCTGCAGTTTGCAGCTGAATTGGGAATGTAGGGGCTTGAACCGGCCGTTTCGAAAAAAACGTGCATGCTTTGATTTTACAAGAGCCAATACGCCAGTCTCTTTACTTTTCATCTTCTACCAAACTGACGAAATAAATCCTTTCTACGATGGTACCTTTCAATTCTACGATAGCATCCCTTCCAGCATGGATATGGCCGTTCAAGACACTAACAAATAAATAAAAGAACCAAAGGCAAACCAAAGAAGAAGTAAATAAAAATCAACTGGGAAAGCAGGCGACGACCACTGAGCCGGAGCTGCAAGGTCTCACGGACAGTGTTTTTCTTACATGCCTTTACTAGACTGTCAGCGCTGTTGCTCTCACGATTGACGACTGCAACTGAAAACCAGTTCGATAGCAGCATTTGATTCGACGCCTCGAACAACCAGACATCACCCTCGGACGCTCCGAAAATATATATATATTCGGGCAGCAGTTGTCCATTGCGACGCGCACGAGATAAACTGCACGTTGGATGATTACTCGTGGATTTCAACGGTCGGAATCAATCCCCGTTGATCCACAGGAATGGAACGCGTGGATAGAAGAGAAACCTCAACTCCGTGTTGATGCCGACATGATGAATGCGCCTCAGAAATATGAGTCGTCGTGTTTAACGTTTGTGATTGTCCGGGGCGGGAACAATGTAGATAGAGACGACCCTTGGTTGTTGTCTGGGTGCTGTATTTTTGTGTGGCACGCATGATGAAACTACGAAGGGTTGCCCCCTCTGCCTCTGTTTTTGTGAGCGCTCATGTGTGTATTCGTGTGAGAGCATGGATCTAGGATTTCCCGGATGTGGGGGGTTCGTGTTTCGTAGATAGCACTTTTGACGGGGGGTATCTTGAGAGAAATTAGTCTAGTCACGGGACAATGTTTCCAGAGAACGCGTGAATCGCTTCTCTACCGATCTCTCCCTGCCCTGGCGAGATAATACACGTATTCCACCACATCATTTGGTCTCGAAGCTCAAAAAAGGACGTACCACGAATACAATACTTTAAAAGTGTTTTCCTTCGACGTAGCCCCGTTTGCTACCATCATGAGTGTTGATTCACCGCGCAATGGCGTGCCACGTCACGATGACGTGCCTGGTTCGGGACGCCGCGGGGAAGCTGTGAGGACGGACAAATCTCGCAGCTCAGGGCAGAGGTCAACGTGCAAGGATAGAAACTGGATCATACAACGGATCAGGCGGCTAGTAGTCTGGCCAGCAGGAGGGGGCGAGCGTCGGGGGAGGCGTATCTGTCTGGAGGCAGCAACCCGGTTGTTGCCCCGGTCGCACAGGAAGGGGCGTCATGTGATACCGGGTTCGCGAGTATCCCGGGCCGGAGTCCTGCTGCTGGCTCAGAGGTCACAGGAGAATGGAGGGTCTCATAGCCTCCAAGGTGAGAGTGCCGGCCGTGTGGGAGAGGGTGACGGTTTCGGAGGGGACGTTGCAGCAGCTGTGTACGGCACACAGCAGTTGCCCCGCATCCAGGCGTCCAAGTTCACAGGGGACAGGCCGACATACATGACATTCAGGGCCTACTTCCTGCGTACAGCTACCGCGGTCGGACAGAAGGATGAATTCCTGGGACTGTCCAGTGTCGTCGACGCCATGACAGACAAAAGAAGAACCGCAGAGGGAGAATTGTTCGCTTGAGCAGATTTCCATCGGATACAACGCATGGCACTTTATCTCGACGGCATTGGAATCGAACACCAACGTCGAGACTTTCATCAGGAATTGTGCGAACGGCAAGGAATCACTGAAGGAGTAAGACGCCGTGTACAACCCTGGCACCCAGGGGGCTAAGCAGGAACTCTTCCGCCGATGTTGCGGGTTCTCATTTCCTGCTCGAGGCGACCCGTTTGTGGCGCTGGGAAGCTCGAACTTATCTGGTCGCAGCTGAACAACAAGGATGGGGTTTCGTTGGACCAGAGCTTCCTTCTGGCCGAGCTCATCGACATACTGCCCCATGTCGGAGCGCGAGGCCGCACAGAACAGCCTGGGAAGCATGGAAGTCCCGACCGGGGACGACGTGAGTGCGCATCGTCACCACGTAGTGGGAGAAGTTCCAAAGGATAGCCGAAGCGAAGGCCGAAGTGAGGAAGGCGGGCGTACAGCAGCACGCTTATGCGGCGACCGATGGCAGAGGTGGCGGCGGCGGTCGTTGTGGTCTGGGAGACGGTCGTGGAAGGAAGGGAGGCAACGGGCGGCGCTTCCGCTGAAACCGGAGGGGGCATTTCCCGGACGATTGCACGACCAAGGTGAAGGACTTTCTACCGAAGTGCGACAAATGTTCGGGGTTCGGCCACAAGGAGGACAAGTGCCAGTGGTTGGAGCAGGCGGCGATCGTGGCGACCGTGGTGGAGGGATTCGAGAGCGAGTACGTTTCGGTGGAAAACCAGGCGTTTTGAAAGGCTTGGGGCGTCCTTTCCATCGGGAGTGCTTCTTTCTGGTTATAGCTTGCATTTGTAGTGGTTGTTGTCTTCACAATAAAAAACGTTCGGTCTCCGCTCAGTACCTTCCAATGTCCGTATGTATACTGGTCCTGCTGATGCGGATGAGAACCGGAGAATGTTGAAGGGGATCGTAGTCAAAACGTTTCCATTTCTGAGTTGGTGTGCCGTAGAGGGATGGTAATTTTGCTTGCGATGACAACCAAATGACCGATATTTTGTGTGAGGAGTTTCGCAAGACGTTTCCATTCTCGTCGGTGGGTGATTGGTTCGCCTGTGTCGATGATTGATGAGTAGACATGCAGACAAGGCGTGTCTATGTTGCAAAGAGGGAAGATGTGCCCGCTTGTGTAGAGGGGGGGCAGCACGGGCGCTTTCATGTCGTGTGTCGACCAAACAATATGTGGGATAGATATGCCCCCAACACACACGTGTGCCCGTTTCGTGGCGAATAAACAGTTCTGGGGCGAACACGGCGGAAAAAAGGTGGTCAGCTCGAAGGATACGTGCTGCTGTGTAAATTCAACCCTGCTTGAAAACTGGGCAACTGCTTCGATTATATTGGTTTATCTCTACGTGGTGTGCCCATAGCCTACGGGAACACTTGTGCAATTTTTCGAGGTCAAAAGCAAAATTTTGGTGAGGATTGTAGCTAAATGCGTACACTCATTGCTGTAAACCTTGATTTCAGCTTCAACAGTTAGGATCTTCTCGGACGAATTCTCCTCGGAATATGGTTTTCGCGTGGGTGGTGCGCGCACATGGATAATTCCTCTACGAGCCCGTTACGGCCTCTAGAGGTCTCACAGAACGGTTAACAATTATCTGTCTGTCGCCGTTCACTCCGAAGCTCCGAACCAAGCATTTTATTCACCCGAATGCCCGAGGCGTGAGGAGTCAGACCCCATCGGCCGTCCTGCACTACTTTGGACGCCCTCAGCAAGTGTCAGCTTGGTTGGGGTCTCTGGCATTAACGTTTGGCTGTGTCGGTGACCGGCCTTTTCAAGCACGAAACACGAGCATGCAACAGGTGCTTCCGGCACCTAATTGCCCCGATCTCGATGGATTTTTGCCTACACGTTGCCTGTCCTCCACCAAATTGAAGCCCCGTCCAATCTACAACTGGATTGAACCCTTCGACGCTGGAATAGCTGTGTGTCCAATAATTTTGCCTGCTAACGAGAGGTTCGGGCCACACCGCTGCAACCTCCCGACGCGGGAGTATGTTCCGCGGCATTTCGCGCGCACATCAACAACTTATCAACTTGATGATTGGTGATCCTCTCTTTTCCTCGTCGGAACACATCCATCCATTCATGCAAATTTTGCACAATAACTTCGATCTCGACCGATTTGCGCGTGTGTGACAGTTGCCTATCTGCCATCAACTTCCAATCTACAACGGGATTACCTACTTCCAGGCCGGCATTAGCCTGCTAACGACAGGGTTGGAGCACACCTCTGTCACCTGCCCCCGCGGAGGCTTCTTATCCCGCCGCGTTTCGGCGGTAGACATATATTGCTGTTGTCTTGACGCGCGCGCGCAAATACCGTAAACTACGGAGTTTTCCCTCCGGGGAGGGGATCGTTTTTTTGCTGAAACCAAACCCCCTGGGGGGTATTTGACGTACCGGAGGGGGGTAGTTTTTTTTTCCATCGCTACCCCGGGGAGAAGGGTTGTGCAAAATAATTAATTTCCACACACCACACACACAGAGAGAGAGAGAGAGTGGCCAAACTGAGATGGTTAAGTTTTTTGTCGGGTCGCGAGAGAGGTACCATTGCCTAAGCTCATGCACAAGAATTCGCAGTTTGTCCGCAGGAATAGGCTGTTTTTATGGTTCGGTTCTACCTTGAGTTGTGAGGTCCAAAAATGAATACGATTATTTGTTCCCTTTGTGCGCAAGGTTTCGTCAGCATGCTGTGGTACGTTTCAGCTGACTCCAGGGATGATCAATGAAAGAAATAGGCAGGAAAACGATAGCATTTTACCCATAAAACTACTTCGAAGGCCAACTGACCAACGGTATACCTAAATCTCGCTCGAAGAGCAGATCTGCAAATGAACTTTCCGTCCCATATCATGCTTTTTGTGCTCCGCGATGCAAGAAAATCGACTCAGAAAATAAGGGAAATACATCCCCCCCGGGCGGAGCTCGTGGGAAACTGGTACCCCGGGGAAACTGAAATACCCGGGGGGATCGTTTTTTTTTTGTCGAAAACGATCTACCCCGGGGCTAAATCAACGAAACCATGCTTCCAGGCCGAAAAGGTAATGGGGCGGGGGGAAACCTGTACTAGGGGGGGGGGACTCGGTAGTTGACGGTAAATGTTCGTCGATTCCATTGACAAAAAATATTTTCACTGTGTTTCATGGGGTCAATCAATTGTTAATCTTATCTCGGTGGACCGGCACACGAGCGGATGTTTTCTTCTTCGCGTGGTACTATGCCTATCCTCCACCGGATCGAAGCCCCGTCCACTCTACAGCTGGATTGGCAGCCTCTTCGACGCCGGAATGGCTGTGTGTCTAGTGTTGCCTGCCAATGAGAGGTTCGGCCAACACCAACCTCCCCCCGACGCGGAAGTATGTTCCGCCGCGTTTCGCATGCACATCAACAACTCGACAACCTAATGATTCATGACTCTGTATTTTCCTCGTCGGAACACATCCGGCCCATGTTCTTTTTCTTTTTCATCTTCCTCCCTTATCTTTGGTTCTCAGATGCACCACCGTCAACTTCTCTCCTTCACTAGCCGATGAATTTCCTTAGCCAATTTTCGCGGAATAATATTCTGTATGCTCTCGTCTTCAACTCACATATTTCTATGTGTGTGATATTTTGTCGGCCGTGTTGAGAGACCTTGAGGTTGTTAGAGGCATAGATGGTGTTAGAAACAGCAGGCCAATCTTTGAAAGAGAGGAGCGCCTTTCGCGTGATGTTGCGGCACTGCTCGTTGCTGGTGTCGATTGAAACCGATGTTCCTTTTACGTTCTGTTGGTTTGTAGAAAAGAACATTCTGCAGGTCACCCTTGAGACGACAATCGACAAAAAATACAGTGGCATCACAAAATACCACCTATCTGCATCCACCCGTGCACTTCCGGCGGGAAGAGAAACCCCTTTTGTCCGATGGACCGCGCCCGGACACAAACGCCTTGCCTCATCCGGAGGATATCCGGTTGTGCTCTTTTCCTTGCCTTAACTTGCTCTTCCTTGCCCGTGGCCTTATGCCCGTTGGCAGCAACTCACATGATGGATCATGCTTTTTTGCTTCATATCACAAACAGATGAAATGCAGTTGTTGACGTAGACTGGGCAAGGCCAAACCCCAACACATCATGAAACATAGGGATAGCGTGTTACGCGAAACGACAATAAAACTAACAGTGCAATTAGCACATCCATGAGAGTTTGTTCATCGCGTCGCCAGTGACTGCTATCGCACCCGAGTTCCTTCCACCTCGTGCCACACCTTCAACACGACACAGCATCGAATCACAGAACTGCTGTAACGACTTATTGCTAACCGATAAGTTGAACTGAAACTCCGCGTTTGCAACGCCCGGCGGAAACGACAGACCACCGGAAAAAAACAAAACTCGTAGAGGACCAGCACGGTTGCCCGAGGCAAGCCGCGATACCAATCGTTTCATGCCCAACGGACAAACATGGGGCTGAACTACGGAGGAAGACGTGTGCTCACAGCAGCCACATGTCTAACTTAAAGTCACTTTCTCGGCTGCGGGAAACCCCAAAAACCCACATACATACGTTAGTGGGCCATTGGCTTTTTTTGTCAGTGAAGGATGTAATTCTCACGCTGGACTATTATGTTCTGGCGGGGAGTTCTTTTCCGTACCAAGGTACAAGTGCGTCCGCGCGGCGGCAAGCGCCAGATTACATGGAGGATTAAAAAATAACATAGAAACAAGCCCACAGCAAGATGTCTACGTGCCATAGAGACGGGAAGCTAACCACTCCGTGTGCCGACACGACTTCTCGTGGCTTTTATCGACGCGTTTGGAATCTGACATGCACGGCCTGCCAGGTCAGACGGCTGGTCCTTAACTGAAGGATTTTCGGTTGTGCTAGAGGATCTACTTGCCTACACAGAACGGGCCCGAGCATACGAAACGTCAAAATCGGTTGGAGGTTCAATTTTGTTTGGGGGGGGGCAAAATGACCGGCTGAAGTCGGCCAATTTCGTAACGTTTTCGTACGGCTTTGCGGTGTCGCATCCTGCTGATTCTCTTTCTTTTCATTTTCTTGTTTCTGGCGACGAAAGCAACAACACACCAAGCCCTCATGCATCATTGCACCGACAGCTTGATGTGGCGAACATTGCGGGTTGTGGCAGTACAGTAGTATTGCAGCAGTGGGTACCGCAGCCCGCGGCTGCGCTGGGGCGGGGGGCGGCGCGAAAATAACCAACCTCCTCCCCCTACCAAAACATTACATGAACGAGATAGGTGTATGTGGTGGAAGCATGACGGCTGTAGCAGTGGTGGGACGTTTGTTGTTGGGCATGGCTCCCCCAGCTACCCAAACTAGCCCTTGTTTCTTACGTCTTAGGTGTATCACACGATTATGTTCCTTGTTGGGACGTTTCTTTTATTGTGGCCGCAACTGAGCTGTGTTTCTTAGCCCTTTTATCTTATGTTTCGTAAACATTTGAGCCCTTTATTCTTATCTCAACATATCATTTCTTAATTTCGGGCCGTTCTGTACTCCAGACCATGACTTTTCGAGGTATATTTTCTCTTGACACACCTGGTGTTCGACCTCATATATATACTATTTCAGGGCTGACGAGCTTCGACGATATCATGCATGGGTTCATGGGGCTGCGCTTGGCTGTAATGAGCGACATTAACATGTATTCACACAAAGGGTTGCCAACCTTGTCTGGCGGTGCGGTATCTAAAGGAGGGGGTGGGTGTAGTTATAGTCGTGCATGCCGTAGTCGTTAGACCATTGACCTTGCGTCCCTACAAAGCCGGGACGGAGCACGCCGGGTTCTCACCGGACCAGGCTCTCACATCACCAAGCGTGAAGGGCCGTGAGGTATTCCGCGAGTCGCATGAAGGGTGCGCTGCATCCTGCTAAGGGTGTTCGGCATCTTGTGCTTACTTCCTTGCGTACGGATGAATGACAGCTGTGCGTATGACGTAATATATTTTTTGGTGCTTTAACTTCCAGAGACAGTTATAAGCACTGTGTAACTGCCTCGAGGATGCTTGACCAATTTCACACAACGTGGTGCGATCATCTCCCTTGCGCGGAGTGAGGGTTCTCGACCCCGCACAACATGATCTACTCGACCACCATTCATTATGGTTACCGCAAAAAATAAAAACCAGAGGTAAACAAGAAACCGGTAACCTGGTTGCCGAGTTCACGAAGTGAATTGGCTTGTTTTACAACGTCGTGTTGCCAAGCGACGAAAACCCAATCCCGATGGCAAACGCCAAGGGGGAGGTGGCTTGTTTTACTACATCGTTGCCAAGCGACGAAAACCCAACCCCGATGGCAAACACCGGGGGGGAGGATCTAAAGGGGGGGGGGCACAAAAAACGCCGAGGCTAATGGTTTTTTGGAATGTTTCGTTGAATGTGGGTGTTGGTCATACAAACTCTGTATTATCATTTCGGTCTGGAGACCACCACTGGTTGGTGTGGGCCAGACACCCAAGCGTGGTGATGCGAGGCCGAGAAAAGATGCTGGGGTGAGAGCGGCAGCAAAATGTAATGAATGGTGGAATAATCAAATAGGTAAATGAAAAATCACAAGATCTCCGAGTTCAAAAAATGGGTATTGGTGGTAGTGTGCGGGCTATAGGGCCACGCACGACGCGTGTGCGAAATGTTGGCATGTAAAAAGGAAAATGATTGATTGTGGCGACCCATGTACGCAGCTAAATGACTACTTCAACTTTTATGCTGCAAATCTTAATTTTGGTTTGAAAACTCAGGATCTTCTCGGATTAACTCTCCTCGGAAAATGGAGTGGAGCATTGGGTTAGATGAGGCGCACACTTCATATTACGTTGGTTTCGAGGCAAAGCGGAAAAGTTGGCGGCGAGACACCAGCAAAACGTGGAGCCACACCACAATTCCAACTTCAAGTCATTTCCCACCGAGGTACATCTCCAACCCTTCAGAACAAATTACTTTTTGTAGAACTACTCAACACAGGGGGGGGCGGGGGGGGTAATAATGGAATGTCTGTGGTATGTTTTGGCCAATGTTGGAGGGGTGTGGGAATGCAGGACAGTGCAACTTCTGGGGGGGGTGTTATGCAGATTTGATGAGATTTGTATCTTGTTAGGTGGCTTGAGAAAGCAATATCGCAGAGACGCCTCGAAACTAAACTATCGGCTCACAACAAGCTATCTGTGTACCATGGGCCTGAGGGGGAAACCGTCGGTTCTAACCTCTGCCGTGGCGCGGGGACTCGCACGGTCGATCGATGTTGCCTAACATGCGCGCGCGCCGCCCGTGCTGTTCAAAATCACAAGCAATACGTTGCACACGCGCAGACACCGATACACACACCTTCCTTTACCACAAAGGTCGCTAGGAACGCTGTCTGGGGCTCTTGCTGTCTGCTGTTGGCTCCAATGCTTCGGGCGCGGTGTTGCGTCCACGGTGTGTATGCGTACCAACCTAGTACATACCCAGGCAGGATGGCGGGACCACGCAGGACCTACGACATAGAATACATGCGCAAGTACAGAGGTTCTGGAAAATATTCCGGTTCGGGTCTTGTTGCGGCGGAATCTACCGCAGAAAAGCGCTGAGAATTGGTCGCGATGGTCGGACGGGCACAACAAGACGGCTTGGTACAATGACGCAGTGCCTGTTACACGTAAACAAGAGAGCAGAGGCATAGAAATTGCGCAGATCTTCGTCCGAACAACGTCGAGATTACCCAGAGCGATTGTAGTCGATGGGTCAAACTTCGGTTGTTTTCCCATCGTTTCGTCCTGCTTGCGCTTTGCCGTTTCATGCCATCACTATTCTGTGGATACATTCCAGCTCACTCCTGTGCGTCAACTACTGTACTTGGAGTGGTAGATCGAGGAGCAAGCCTCATCAAATATTCATGTAGTGTGACCAACCATGGCCGTTTGGGAGAAAATCCAGTCAGGACCCATTTGCTCGCCCACTTTCTACAAAAAAACACGGTCTTGCCGCCGTATGCGACCACCCCAACCCTGACCTGTTTTCCCCCCTCCAACGGGACACTCGCTGCAACACGGCGAGTGCACCCTCTCTGGACATATATCCTTCCCTTTCTAAGCCAACAGCAAGGTCCCTATCTTTCGCAAACTTTCAAACAATCATGAGAAGAAACTTCCAAATGTGATGAACATTGACGCCAGCGATCCATGTTCCACATCTGTACGAGGTGGTTCTGAACCTTGATGGTGTGCCGGTGGGATGTCCATAACGTGCACCGCTGCCTTTAGCGGCTTGCCATAGTGCCCACGAAAATGGGGATGGGTGCGCGCGTTCATCAATGCTAACGCTCTCAATCGTTCGTCGTGTTGCCCGTACTGCTGCGAGACTTACATACGGTTGTGTGTGGTTCAAACAACGAAAACGGGAATGTAAAGGGAAGCGTGCACCGAGCTATCCGTCTTGGCTGACTGTCCTGTGTGATACATCGTTCGGTACAACATATGTCACTTTCGCTGTACCATGCTCGTGCCAGGGTGTCGATCAAGCTCACCTCGGCAGCCCGTAGAAACGCGAGGACGCCAGCCAACGTTGCCAAGGCGTCGGCCGCGCCCGTACCGGCGGCGACGATTCTGCGGGGGCCCTTGGTCGCGCAACGGGAGAGTGGTAAGCGCAACGACAACAGCAACCACGGCAGCGACAAGGACGACTACATCTTTCTCGAGGACGACTTCAACTTTGATGACGGCGAGATCGAGCGCAAATCGAGCTCGCCAACGGGATGCCCGTTCACGGCTGCACTACAAGCAACAGAGCTTGCTCAGAAGGCCAAGGACGAGCTTTGAATAGCGCAACTCCTAGCGGAGAAGACGAAGAGTATGGCCGGCGAGAGAAAGCGAGTATTTGATGTGGTGCGGGTCCAACAGGTTTCCTTGAAAGAAACGAAAGCAGTCGCTGCCGCATCGAACATGACTGCCGCTGCTGCTGACGCCAAGTATACGGCGAATCGCGAGGACCCAGAAATCAGGCGATGGGTTCAACGGCGGCGGGGACAGAAGCGGGAACGCATTCACCATCGACCCCTTCCAGTACGCCTCAAAGCCGGAAATGGAAGCGTATCAACCGGAAACCCAACGTATCTGCGGCAAAAGTCCCCGAGGGAACTACTCAGCGGGGAGAAAGGGGGACCTCCACCACACACAGCAGGGTGGGTCAGATGTCACTCACAGGCTCGTCGTTAGGGTGAAACACGATGTACACACACTGGAAGACGAGGGAGGCCGTCTTTCGGCTTGTCTGCATATTTCGCTTCTCGTCTGCTCCCAGATCGTCACCGAGATAAACTTGGATCTGTTGCAATCACGAGAACAGGTTTCTCGCTTGACTAAGCCTTCCTCACGTCTACAACGCCAGCGACGGCTTGCTTCGAGTTCAGTGTGAGGTGATGGTAAAGTCTGTCCGTGTACCTGTAGGAACAACAGCATATCGCATCCGTGTGGGTGAAATGAATGGCCACTGTATGTGTTTTATGCCAAACAGTTTTGTTTGGACCCTTCACCTACAAGAGACACTGGCGTCGAGTGTTCTGTTTGACAGTCAAAATTCTTGAATTCGAGCACGACTCTAACAAGCGCCTGTCTCCCCTCGCTCTCCGCTCTCTTGCGCTTGTTCCACAACGTAGCCTACCTCCATCCTGCACCATGTCATGGAAGTCCACAAGAAGCGCGGTAATGAAGCCGCCGGCACGATGGCGACCGCTACCAAGCCCACTCACGTCAGAAATGCGTCTTCCGACGAAAGTGAGGCAGCATTGGCGTTGGCGGCATTGGCTGCACCCACATTGACACAACCAGCGCCGGGTGCCATAGAGACGGCGGCCATGAGGCCGATTGCTGGTCCAGCGGAAACTGAGACCGTTAAAGCTGGCTTCTCGCACCGCAAGGGGGACGTTTCAGCAGGCTCCCCAACAGTGGTGGCGGCGGCGGCGGCCGCAGGGATTGCTGCCATCGGCTCAGCTCCCTGGGGTATGCCCCCCGAACCGGCCGCTCTGCCTGTGACGGCATCTGCGCCTGCAGTCGGCACGGGGATGGCGATGGAAGAGGAGAAGCCACATTCGACGGAGTCAGCGGTGGCATGCATCGGTGCAACTCCCTGGGCCATGCCCCTCGCATCGGCTGCTCTAAACGTACCGGCATCTGCGCCTGCGGGTGACTCGCAGACGGCGATCGTCGAGGACCAGGCTTGCAAGACGACGGCCGCGTCAGCCTTAGTAGCCATAGCCGCTACTCCATTGGAGATGCCCCCAGCCCCGGCTGCTCTGCCTGTGCCGGCCGCTGTGCCTGCCGTCGGAAACATATCGGCTATGAATCAAGAGCAGGCTAACGAGTCGACGGCAGCCGAAGCGTTGATAGCCACCGCCGCAACTCCCTCGGCTATGCTCCCGGCCCTGGCTGCTCTGCCTGCTGTCGGTGGGATCTCGGCGATGGATGAAGATCGGCCTTGCAAGACGGCGGCGGCGGCGTCAGCCACAGCGGTCAACACCGCAGCAACATGGTCAATGGCCCCTCTACTGGCCGCTTCTGGCTGTGCCAGGAGAGCACGCCGGGGGACAAGATGGGGCGACAGGGGCGCAGGAAAGCAAGAAAGAGGACGAGGAGTTGGAAGAGGGATAGATTCGACTCGAGAGCAAGACTTCCATCGAGGTGATGGTTAACCTGATGTCAACACTCGGTTATAAACCAGAAGAAGCTTCTGCTGCCTTTGCAGCTGCAAAAGCGGGAGCAGTAGCGGCAGCAGCAAAGGCAGCAGCTGCAAACGCAGCAGCAGCAGCAAAGGCAGCAGCAAAGGCAGCAGCAACAACAACAACAGCAGTAGCACCAACAGCAGCAGTAGCAGTGGCGCCAGCAGCAGCAAAGGCAGCAGCAAAAGCAGCAGCAAAGGCCAAGGCGAGCTCGCTTACGACGGGGACGTTTCTCGAGCCAGGGGCACTTCTGGCTAGCGCTCGAGCATCAGAGTAGATGCTAACATCCACTACGGCGATCCTGCAGACGGCGAAACCAAGCCCGGCCATCGGAAACACCGTTGATGTCCCTCCGATGGTCGAGTCGGTTGGACAGGAGGCCCAGGGCGAGCCAAACCGTTTCCTGGGGGCAGGCGGCAGCGAACATACTGGCGTCGGTGGAAAAGCTAAAGTTCACGACACAAAATCTCCGCCAAGGGTCTCAAACCCAGCGCTGTCGAAGGTCCTCCAAACGGCGGTAGCAGTTGCCGAGTCGTTGGCGGCCAAGACTGACGAACAAGTGCCGCTGTTGGGGCTTGCCGAGACCAACTCCAGACCATCAGACCCCACGTGCGCACCGGTAGCGGCGACGACGGTAGCGGATCCAGCCTACGGAGAGACGACCAAAGGGTTCATCACCTTTTCACAAGGCGCTGCTCACCTTTTCACAAGGCGCTGCTCTTGACGACAAGGCCCCCACCACTGCCTCCACGTCATCGAGGGATACCGCTCAGCTGCTGCTTCTGAGAGACAGAGCGGTGCTGCGGGAACGGAAGAGGGCGGAGATGAAGATGTCGTCGAGGTCGTCTTTGTTGACCATTACCTCCCCAGCCAGAGCAGCAGCGGCGAGGACGAGGACCCGCGCTCGTTTCTCCCGGCAAGCCAGGGCCGCCCGCAAGGCGCTTCGGCGAGAGGACGTGATGTCTCGCGGGACATCAGTGTTGTGGCGTGGCGACGGCAGCAACAACGGTGGAACGACTACGGAGGGTAAGGAAGGGGAGGAGGCAAGGGATAACCGTGACGACTTTAAGGTCGCCAACACCCCTAACGGCTCGGTCGAGGCCTCTCAGAGCCAGTCCTGGTCGTTGTCCGCGGAGATCGTTCAACGACCGCAACAGCGGCAGCAGCAGAAGCAACAGGAGCGATTTTCGACCCTTATCGGAATGAACCGCATCGTGTCCGATATCCGGACGGTGAGGAGGGCCTACAAGACCGACGCGTTCCGCTTGAGGGTGTGGCGAACGTCAGCTTGGCGGCAAGGCGAGGTGAGGAACCAAACATCGCTCCCCCACGAATTGGGAACAGAAGAGGTTGGGCGTAGTGCAAGTCGATTGCGCTCACTGCCAGGAACGGAAATGGTGTTGTTGGTGGCCCCTGCCAATACCAACACGTCCGAACTGTACAGAGGCTTTGGACTACTATTAGCACCATGTGGGAGATTGTAGCGAGATCGGTTTGGTAGATACCTCTCCTGCCCCCGCCACCCAGCGTGGACGGAACATACCCCGATTGTTGAACGAAACCCACCCCATTGCAACTCCTACAGCCAGTGCCGCCCACAACACGCCAACAAGCAACCACGGGGTTCGACGTTGCCGTCCGTACAAGAGAGAGTGAGAAAACTAGAGTGGTAGAGTCCACCTCACAATCCATTGCTCGCCTCTCGCTATCGCTGATGGCCCCTCCTCCACCCTTTGCCGTCATTGTTACGCACGTCAGGTGGCTGGGACGGGAGACTAGCTACCGCGCGGGTCCAAGAGGGTACGGGTGAATATCGATAGAGTCCAATGGCGAAGGTATGCTTGACGGAGGGTGAGCGAGTAGGACTCCCCCGGAAAGAATCTACCTGACGATAGGCGACTAGAGAGACAGAATGACGCTTGTGGTGCGATTCTTGGGGTCATATTCGGGGTAGACTGCGGTTGGCACAATGTTATGTGTACGAATGTGGCACCATCGACAACGCCAAGTGTTCACCCCGTCGCCCGATAACTCACCAAGACGCCCAAACAAGGGAGCTTCTGTTTGGTGGGGAAATATTATCTGAGATGAGGATAGGTGCGGGAACGGTCCCCCCTGTTGCGAGATGAAATCGTTTAAGAGAGTTCGTTTTGCCCACCACAAGCCGAGAGTGTTTGAGGGTCCCGTTTAGGCGGTATGCAAGAAACCGCACCAAGTCAATAGGCCCCCTATGCGTCGTGTACCTGATCGGATTGGGACGTGAAGCTGGGATATTTCTGGTTGATGGCATGGGACAGGATCAGATGAATATGTCCGCACTGTGTTAGGCTAGACTGGGCAAGACAGATGTCGTATGCATTCATGATCAGACGGATTGGGATGAAATGGAGAGGGATCGGAAGGACGCGATGCCGCGATGTTTCTGGTTGATGGAATTGGACAGCACCGGAGGCACGAGTCGGGGCTGTCTTGGCTAGACTGGACAGTACCGGTCACGTGAGCATGCATGATGAGGCTGGATGAGATGGGAAGGACTGGGATGGGAAGGGATCTGACGAGACGAGATGGGCGGGACTTGGAAAGACGCTTGGTAGATGAGATATTGATCGCTACGGCTGACCGCAAGTGATTCTTAGCGGACGTCCAGTGGGACACGCCAGTAACGAATCTGCCTGACGATAGGCGATAAGGAAAGGGCGATGTATTGTGTTCCGACAATTGGAGTGATTTGCGAGACGGAATGTGTTTGACGCAAGTTGTGTGTGATGATGTAGCACGACCGACAACCGTCGTGATCTTCTCAGCCTCGCCCGACAACTTGCCACGCCGAAGGGAGCTTTTGTTTTGTTGGGAAGCCGCGCCGAGTCATTGGGTCCGCTCCGCTCTCTGACGGTAGGGGTGACCCGCGTATGGGTTTTCGTGCCCGGTACGATTGGGACGGAAAGATGGGGTATTCTGGGTGGATGGCATGGGAAAAATCAGATAATGATCTCGTGATGTTTCGGCTAACCTGGGTTGGACAATTGTCATATTTAACCATGATGAGGCTGGATGGAGAGACGGAGTTGGACATAATGCGACGGGATGGGGCGGCATGAGACGCGATGGGACGGGATGGGACGGAATGTGACGAGGAGCACGCTTGGTTGATGTATACAATTGATCGATGGGAATACCCGGCATGGCTGAAAGGGAGCAAACCAGCAGAGAGCCGTTGCGGGAACGCAGGCGAACAAGAGAGGGAAAGACAATTACTAACACGGGGCATGATTTGGGTATATGTTTTTTAAACACCGAAGGGAGTGGACGGCAGAAGTGGTATGCTCGGAGAGTAACTGCCGGAGGTGAGGCCTTCCGCACTTTCCCTACTTTTCCCTTTGCTCTCATCAACTGTTGAACGAATGAGAGTTTCCGCGTGCCCTATTTTTTATATCAGTTATGATAGCATCGGGTTTTCGGGTTTGGGAAATATATATTTTTTCCTGTTCGAGATTTTTCGTACACATTTGTTTTGGCCCGATTGTTATGTGCTTTTCCTCAGTGGTGGGGTGGACTGGTGCCGAGTTCTGTTCGAGATTGAGGCTATCTTAACCGTCTTGAGATTGACTAGGCGATGAAACCCGTTTTTCGAAAGCGACCTTACCGTAGCTCTGTCTGATATTGCTGCCGAACGCTGGACGTGCAACGTATTTTTTCGGTGCGGGGGCCGCCACTAGGAGCAATATTGTCCTGACATTTGAGTGCGTACGTCGCCTGTGGTGGTTTGATGATTCGCTTGGTCATGTCACGGGACATGGTATGAGCCCTTGGGCACCACTCATGCCTCGAAAACGAAATGAGTGGACGGCAGAAAACCCGTAGCAATAAAACCCGTGGGTATTCTCGGGCCTCAACTCCGGTGTTGCTGTTTCGCGCCTCGTGTTTGGTTCTTTCTGTTGCGTCGGGCTTTCGCTGGGTGTCTAACTGTGTACCTATCGTTCGTTTGGAGCAACAAGAGGTGCGCTGCATAGTACAGGCTGGGAGTGTGTCTGCCACGGGCGCTGTTCAAGTTTAACATTGAAGGGAGTCGTCGTCTGGAGCAGTATTATAGTGGATTGACAACGTTTGCTTGACACCAGGCCCGTGAGTATTGAGCGACTGGAGAGCCGCAACAAGCGTAGTTCTGTATAGACCCAAGCGTGGCAGAGCGGGCAAAGTTTGTGTTTTTTCGGCTACGTGCGTATTTGTGTGTGGTCCTCCCATCTTTTCTGGAAGTCAGCTGCGTTGTCCGTTACGAAAATGTCGGACACATCTCCGACCGGATTTACACGCTTTCATAATGATCGGACATGGAGGATGTATGAGGTGTTCTTGTGTAGTGGTTGCGCCATCGTGCGAGTCTTCGTGCTAGAATATGTGTTTTTTTTCGGCCGGGCCGCGGCGGGGCTGGCGTTGAACGCTGAAAAAAAGGGGACCGGCATAGTTTGGATGTATCACAAGAAATGTTGCCGGATCCGACCGGATGACCATCCAATGTAAATGGCCTCGCAATGAGGGCTTCTATGTACACACCTACGTTCTGGACATAGGACATTTGCGTTCTAACGCGTGCGATCTTGTCCCACCTCCTATGGCAACCTCATGGTGTAAGTGGAAGACCGTTCGGAACTCCTCCGTCAACGAACGATGATGGATTGTAGAGGGTAACCTTGCGATGCTTGTCGCCGCGTTCAAACTGGAGCTCGCGTTCGAAACCTATAGCAACCGACAACCGAAAAGGTTGCTTGACGCTTAGCCGTGGATGAACAACCGTCTACCAACTCGACATCAATGAATATCAATTCGTATGAAATGCCTATGCAACACCTCACCACTCGTCGTCGTGGTCATCGACTGGCAGCGTGGTGTACATCCAACCCCGTCTCGCATTAGGCCGGCGCTTGCATTGGTACACGATTTCCGACCTAGGCCATCTTATCACCAACACGAAAATGCAAGAATGGGCTCGCTGAAATCACACCATTCGACTAGTGAGCGCTGACTAGTCTAATGTTTTGATTTCGGCTTCTATAGATGGAAGATGGACCTACTCTGCACAACATGAACGCTTCGGCTAGCGTATAGCGTCCAAACAACAACAACAGCGGATGCCATCCGAACCACAGACGAACCACAGAACAGCGAACAGAGAGCGGGTGATTGGCGCCCAACGACAGGAGTAAAACAAGCGCATACGAAACAACAAGCAGCACCTACTCCGGAGAAACCACAAGAGCAACCTTCGAGTGACAACTATCAATATCAAGGCTCCCCAGCAGATGCCACCTTGCACACATGCCGCTTCCGCTCAGAAAGAAACCGTCCCTAAATGAGACAACGCCCGACAGGAGGGCTACCAAGACTAGGCGATCAATTCCAGAGAATTAGTGCAGTCCGAGTTTCCCTTTGCCACACCAACGAAGTAACAACCTGCAGTTTGAGTTAGCTGGCTTCAGGGCGGCAGGGAAAACGAAATCTACGGTACCTTACTGCACTAGAAAAAACACAAATCCCCACCCGGGGCTCGGTGTCCAAATCATCAACCCTGTGAACAAGGCGTACGAAAGCATTACCCTCGTCTTCCTTGAACCCTGATCACGACTTCTCAGTTCTGCGGTAAGTGCCCTAAGCGCAGAAGCTATCACGCCATTGGAAGAGCTGTCCCGACTCCTATCATACCACGTAGTTTTCCCACGTTTCACGCCAACGAGGGAAGCTGGCCAAAGGACTCCCGACAACGGATAGTCAAAAGCAGTCCCAAACTGTATGTGCTGAAGACGCGGCGGCCATATGCAAGCTCCCGCTATGTGTTGGTTGAAGTGTTTGCCAAACTGTAGGCGTCGCATGGAAGCCGGCCATACTACTCCGACAATGGGTTGGTTGAAGAAACTTCCGAACGAAAGCTGTTGCAGGGACGCTGGCCACATCACATCGACAATAGGTTGGTTGAAGTCTTCACCAAGCTCCAGTTGTCGCAACGAAGCCGGCCACACTACATCAACAATGGCCTGGTTGAATCTCGTCCCAAACCTGAGCTGTTGCAGATACTCGGGCCACACTACACCATCAACGGGTTGATTGAACCCGCACCCAAGGCGCAACTTCAGCAGAGAGGTCGGCCACACCACTTCGACAATGGGCTGATTGAACACCGCCCCAAACGTGAGCTGTTGCAGAGACCCTGGCCACACCACACCCACAACAGGTTGGTTGAAGCGGTGCCCGAGGTCCAACGAGAGCAGGGAGGCCGGCCACACCACTTCGACAACAGGTTGGTTGAAGGAGCACCGGGATCCTGGCAGCGTCAGGGTGGAGGACCCCTCTCCATCGACAATGCTGAAGCTATGGTAGCTATATCCGAACGAAATATGTTGCAGAGACGCCGGCCATGCGACACCGGCAATATATTGGTTGAAAAGACCCCCGAGGGATAGCTGCCGGAGGGCGGGGGGCCAGACCACATCAACAATAGAGTGGTCAAATCCGAGAAGCTCAAGTCGTTGAAGGGAAGCCGGCCACAACCAATCGGGAAATGGCTCGAAAACCCCCATCTTCACTGTGAGTCGCTTCAAATTAGGAGGCAATGACAGGAAGCCCACGCGTTCTGAGTGATGACTGCTCAGATCCAATTCCTCTACTTCTCTCCACATCCCCATACGGTCAGGCCGAAGCATCCAATACGGAAGCACCCAATTCACTCCACTAACCCGCAACGGAGGTACTCGACTCGAGCCGCGATTCCGGAGGCTGGACACCCGGCG